CCCAGAATCACAGGCCAAATAAATCTCTTTTCTTTATAATGTACCCAGCCTGTTGTACTGTCTTACCACCAACAAAAAAAAATCAACTAACAGAGATGTGCAAAGAAGTTCTAAGTCCATGCCGTAACAAAGCACAACTGTCCTGACCAGCAATCTCGCTGGGAGAGACGCAGTCAGATTAAGAGAAGATTTAAGCATTTTTGTGTTTTCGGGATATTCAAAGCTAAGATATTGATGTCATTAAACACTACCCGTGTTTGTTATATCTGACATTGCTATTCTCTATGTAGACATTCCAGCTGATTACAGAAAGCCTGGAACTAGTTATACTACAACCTAATATGGCCATTCAATTATCTTGGGAAATCTTAAATTATTTTTTCTCATAAGGAAATTAACACAAGTGGCAGACCATAACAAAAATCAACAGTGAGGAAGGCTTTTACATGGATCTCGTTCTGGCATATGAGTGTACACAAATTAACACAGGCTGACTCACGATGACTTCATCCATTTGTTCCATACATACCTGATTAATAAGCATTAATTCTGTTGATGGAAACAAGAGCACTCCATTGTTATATACAGATTAGAAATGTAAACACTTAGCATTTCCCACAACTACTGACTTCACAAATTATTTTGAGTACTATTTCAAACAACACTGTGAATGCCAGAAAAAAAACTAGGTAAGCAAAGCACTCTACTGCCCCCTAATGAAACAGACCAAAACCAAAAACCCCACACAGAAAACTTGTTTGAAGGGTCTGTGGGACAGGAAAATAACCTTACTTTACAAAATACAGCAAACACTAAGATAATTCACTGAAAACAACTAGTATATATATCAAAATACTGTAGGAAACGTACAATCACCCCACTTGTGATAAAATTAGTTGCAAAACAGGAAAGCCATGAGACAGAAATGTTTTAAGAGAAAGGAGGCCACAGTGAAACAATGTTATCTAGTGCGATAGCAACAAAACCTGAGTGCAGAGGCCACATGTGTACACTGGAAATGCAACAGAAGAAAAAGAGCTCCTTAGGAACCACACTCCTTTTTTTTTTTTTTTTTTTTTTTTTTTTTTTTTTTTTTTGACAGGCAGAGTGGACAGTGAGAGAGAGAGACAGAGAGAAAAAGGTCTTTCTTTGCCGTTGGTTCACCCTCCAATGGCCAGCGGCACTCTGCGGCCAGCGCACCGCGCTGATTCGAAGCTGAGAGCCAGGTGCTTATCCTGGTCTCCCATGGGGTGCAGGGCCCAAGCACTGGGGCCATCCTCCACTGCACTCCCGGGCCACAGCAGAGAGCTGGACTGGAAGAGGGGCAACTGGGACAGAATTCAGTGCCCCGACCTGGACTAGAACCCGCAGTGCCAGCGCCGCAAGGCAGAGGATTAGCCTAGTGAGCCGTGGTGCCGGCCAGAACTACACTCTTCAGCGAACTACAGAAAGGTTTCAGTTCAGCTCGCCTACAATATTCACTCACAATTTACACTGATCTTAATCCTCTCAGAAGTATTTTAAAGGATGCACATTTTCAGGGTAGCTACCCTGTAAAATACACATTTAACATAATTATATTTAATGCTTCTTGTTTCAAACAAACATCAACTTCATAAAAATACAAGTTTCTATGTTATGGTACTCTATCATAAACTAAGCATAAATAATTTCTAATCTTCCTTAATAAAAGCAGCTCTCCATTTAACAAACTCTGTTTTTTGAAACATGCTCCTTAAATCCTATTTAACTTACTAAATATTTCAACCACTAAGAATTCTTGAATTCTCATTTTCTAAACAGCAAATTTCTGGGAAGAAAATCGTCTGTGATTCTTAATGACAAGAGTTACATAAAAAATAACATCAAGGAACCAGATACGTGGAGTAAGAGTGCAGTGACTAAAATACCAGGTCACACAGAGAACGAAGCAGCAGCTCCGGGCAGCAGCTGTGTGAGGTCACCAGACTTGGTAGTGAACCGTTCCTCTCTAGCTGGGGCTCACGGCATCACGTGCAGATGGCAGGTTTCCACCTAGGTTGACAGAGGTTTTATACTATACTTCATGTGTCTGCCGTTTAGGGTGGATAAAGAACAGGGACCAGGTATGCACACTGCCACAGCAGAGAGGCAACACAAGGAAGCGACCTGGGTCTGCACCCACGATGAAAAGGGCACCCCGTTCAGACCTCCTTTGTGAGGTCCACTACTGAAACAGTTCCCCCGCGGCCAGCGCTATGGCATAGCCAGCATCCCACATGGGCAATGGTCTTCAAGTCTCAAGCTCCACTTCCGACTCTGCTCCCTGCTAATGGCCTGGGAAAGCACTGGAAGATGGCCCAAGTGCCTGGGCCCCGGCACCCACGTGGGAGACTGGGAAGAGGCTTCTGGCACCTGGCTTCAGACCAGCTCAGCTCCGGCCATCGCCAACCATTTGGGGAGTGAACCAGCAGATGGAAGATCTCTCTATCTCTCCCTCTCTCTCTACAACTGTGCCTTTCAAATAAAATAAACAAATCGTTAAATAAAAAAAAGAAAAAAGAAAAGAAAGAAACGGTACCCCAGTTCTGCAAGGTAAAATGTAACCACCATACATGTTGATTAGCAATGCAAACCTTCAAAACAGCAACACTGAAAAATACAAATGTACTCTCAAATATGTGGGATTTCACATCTGTACTAACTTCCTGAATAATCTGAATTTAAAATATGGCTGTTTCACCAGAAGCATTACTCATTCATTCTGTTGCCTAAAAATAGAACAGAGATGGGCATATTCTGAAGCTGTGATAAAGGAGCTAGAAGGACTTGAACAACCCAAAGTCAAGCATTGCCAAAGTGCCAAGACTTGCGTATATGGTCAAATTAGTATCCTTCCAACAAAAAAACCACTTTTAGCTGCTCAGACGTATCACACAATAGTCACAAGAAATAAAACAGAGCAGGCACACGCTGTGAGGAGTATGCACGCATTCTCCCTCACGGGACAGTCCCAGCTGGTGCGGTGAGTCCCAATCACGACCCTACACCGAGGAAGGCCTTCCCAGTCCATCGGAGAGAAGCGGAACTTCCCACATTGCGCTTTCCCTCTCTTATTCCCGGTAAGCACAAACACAGACAAACAGGATCAAGGGAAAAACGAAGTGGGAAAGCAAGGTAAGGGACAAGAAAATGGTAGTGATTTCATTAGCAAATAAATTAGTAGGGATTATGGCTTAAAAGGATTTATTTACTTATTTTAGCCCAAAGAAGTTTTACTGATAATGATGGTAGCATTTAGCATTTATTGAACATTTATTATCATATTTGGCTAAGGAATAAGCACCTTACTTATATGATATGTTTAATTTTCACAAAAATCTTATGAAATAAGGTATTATTGTCCCTACTCCACAGATGAAACTGAGATCCATAAAGAGTAAATAATTTGCCTCAAGTTACTGCATGACTAAACTGTAGAACATGATACAGCAACTTGACTCTTAACCTCTAGGCTTATTAGTGATTTTTATTTAGTGATTTTAGATATTTATTAAATTGACTCTTAACCACTAGGTTTATGGTATTTCCCAGTGAAAATTTATGAAATGAAATGAAATTATATTTTTGAAACACTGCAATAAACTAACAAAATATATCTGAGACCTAGGTCCATTGGAAAGACTGTGCCACCATGTAAGCTGGGCAAGACACCGGTTCCGGTTCTTCAGGAAGACAAACGTGTGCATCATACAATAAACGACAGCAGAAGTACCAACAGATGACGACATCCTCACCCTTCATGGCTCTTTATAAATAACATTTCTTCACTGATTTTCTGATCACATTCAGCCACTGTAATCTCTCCTCCCTCAGATCAAAACACTTCATTCTCACCTCTGCTTTGTTTTTCTTAAAACAAGATAAAAGTCTAGGCTACACAGGAGGAAAAACTCATTCTTCCTCCCCTTTTCTATCTTAAAAAAGATATTCAAATATAAAATACAACAAATAGGTCTCATTATATCTAAAAATATATCTCCATAAGCTGTAGTATGAAAAATGATTGCATAGCTATTCTCTGATCTTCGATAACTATGTTCAAGTTGTTTAAAATTAATGCTGAAGGAGGCCGGCGCCGTGGCTCACTTGGCTAATACTTTGCCTGTGCCACTGGCACCCCAGGTTCTAGTCCCGGTTGGGGCACCAGGTACTAGTCCCGGTTGCTCCTCTTCCAATCCAGCTCTCTGCTGAGGCCCAGGAGGGCAGCAGAGGATGGCCCAAGTGCTTAGGTCCCTGCACCTGCATGGAAGACTGGGAGGAAGCACCCGGCTCCTGGCTTTGGATCGGTGCAGTGCCAGCCGTAGTGGCCATTTGGGGAGTAAACCAACAGAAGGAAGACCTTTCTCTCTGTCTCTCACTCACTGTCTATAACTCTCTCTCTGTCTCTCTCTCTCACTGTCTAACTCTGCCTGTCAAAAAATAAAAAATAAATAAAATTAATGCTGAAGAAAAAATCACCATGTGGCAGAAAACTAACCCTAAAGTCTACTTAGCAAGAGCTGTGATTTAAACACAAGCAGACAAACACACACACACACACCCCACCCACAAAAACACAAATCAATCCTCATCAAATTAAAGGTATTAACTGGGCACAAACTTCCCTTCTACTTTTGTATATAGCATAAAACATAAAACAACCAGGAAAAGTCACAAACAGCTAAAACTTCAAAATATTAATTTTATATAGTTTTGAACAAATCTTTTCATTGCAGAATTTAAAGAAGACACTATGAAAAACTGTTATAAGAAAGGTACCTTGCAGAATAAGCTATTACTTGCGAAATTTAAAAAATAAAACACAGTGACATTTAAATCTGACATCAAAACCTGTCAGAAGTAAAGATCTGCCCATGTACTAACCTTGGTTGAATTCTAACTAAGTTACAGTTAAATGTTAACGACGTACAGGACCAGACAGACAACGAGCTACGCCGCGATGGGACGCTGTGCTTTACCTTGGAATCCTCAGTGCTCACTCCCAGCTGTAGCACAGCCTGCGGAGACTTGAGTTTGGCCTGAGCGGAGTGAGCCATCTGGAGGTTAAGCTGCCATCCGACTGTCTCCAGCTAGGAAAGACAAACGGAGAGGGAGTCAGGTGGGACACAGGAAGGAACAGTCAACTTTAGGCACATCTCCACTCCTCAGGAATGAACATGGACAGCCTGCACTTCACAGAGAGTCAGATCCAGGCTCTCCTAACCTACACACTCTGCTGTTCTCCCTCTGGACTCATTAGACTGGCCTTCTGCCACGCCTGTCAAACTCAAAAGTAAAAGTGATCTTTAAAAATAGTCTATTCTCAAAATAAAAATTCTAAGACGAAGCCAACATATGCGCTAAAAGAGCCAACAGTTTTGAAATAGTAAATTGCTATTTTAAAAACCAATTCGTTTTAAATAGTTAACAAATTTCAACTAGTAAACAGCATGGATGGGGAGGAGTGAAAAGCAGTTCAATGATTTCCAATTGCTTTGAAAACCCTCTGCACCAGGCTGAACACAGGGAAGATTTGCTTTTTTTCTATTAATTTGGAGGGACACAAAAGCACCCAGAAGGCAAGCGGTCACCCCTTTACACACGGTGAGATGGACACAGAGACCAAGGAAGCGCCGGTACCCAGCAGACTCTCACACTTCCCAAAGCGCTCAACTGACTGTGGGTCCTGTTATGACGGAAACCAACTAGAGTACTTTCTTTGAATTTATTGACACAGCAAAACTGAATCAGGTAAGTCAAAAACAAGCCAAGGAAGACTAAGGCAGTTTGATTTTTCCTTGCCAGCATGAAGCAGCACAAATATGGCTTTACTGAACTGAACAACCTACTGCTTCCTCCAACCTTAGAAGTGTAAGGTTTCAGAGAGAATCTCCTGTAAGCCTCCAGGACCGACACGTGGGGGAGTTGTGTGAAAGCCAACTGTCACACGCCTCTGACAATCTGACATTAATAATGGATTTAATAACAAAATTGTAAAAAAATAAAAAACACCTTAGCTACGCTGGGGAGGAATGCCAGCCTCACAACAGCTTCTACTTGACCAGAATACTGATCACTCAACATGAAAGACTTCAACAGCTGAACTCACAGCAGTGACTCAAAGCCAAGCTGGAAGAGAGTAAAGAAGGTATTATCCACTCTCGAGAGAATGTGATGAGAAAACAAGGACGCAGTTCTGCTCTTTCTGGCACGGAGCCTTTTGGAGGTTATGGTAAAAGGCGGGGCAGGAGAGGCGAGCAGAGATGCTGCAGAGACATACTCTGTAACACTAATCAGCAAGAAGTCAGTTCCCTGGTGCACGTTAGCTAACGCTCCTGTCTGGACTCATCTGTGCAGCGATCACAGCCAGCAGCCTGCCACTACTGCTACAGCCACATGGAACAGAATTCCCAATAAAGCAGGCATGTGACGGTCGCTGTCATGCATCCAGAAACATCCCGACAAGCTCTGTCTTCACAGAAAAGCTCCTGTGTTCATGGGGACTTGTAAGACACCGCACTGACCTTACTGAACCAATCCTATCCCTGGTCCTTTAACATAAGCAGTCAAGATTTCAAAAAAAAGGTAAGACTAAAGCACACTCGCCCTGTGGCCAAGCTTTGCACTAATTACTGCCTGAAGACGTACAGAGGAATGAAACAGCATGAGCCGCGCGGCCTCTGCTCCGGTTCAGACTCGGGCACTCACTCACCAGCTCTGTGACCCGAGCTGCATCGCCACCTCTCAAGAAGTCAATTTTCTCCCATTAAATGGAAATACATTTATCTGAGTCCAGCACAGTGCAGAGCAGGTAAAGCCACCACTTGCAACACTGGCATCTCATGGATTTGTGTTCCAGCTGCTGCACTTCTGATCCAGCTCCCTGCTAATGGCCTAGGAAAAGTAGAAGATGGCCTCAGTGTAGGGGCCTGTGACACTCATGTGGGAGACCTGGATGAAGCTCCTGGCTCCTGACTTCAACCTGGCCCAGCCCTGAGTGGTCAGCCATCTGAAGAGTGAACCAGCAGATGGAAGATACCTCTCTGTCTCTCTCTCCTTCTCTCTCTCTCTCTCTCTCTCTCTCTCTCTCTCTGCCTCTCCCTCTACCTCTACCTCTACCTCTACCTCTGAAATAAATAAATAAATCTTTAAAAAAGAATAAATCTATCTGAACTGAATTTTTCTACAGTATCTAAAATGTTTTCCAGAATTCAAGATCCACGTCAGACCCTGATTTCCCGTGTCTTCCACTGTCCACGTCTTCCATGGGTATTGTGGATTATCACAACAGTCTTCTAACTGGGCTACCTGCTTCCAATTTAGCCCCAATCCAACACTTCATCTTTCTTCCTTAAAATTCTCCAACAGCTCCCTATTAACAACAAAATAAAACCAAACTTCAGTCGTAAGCCTGGCACACCAAGCCCCTCAGGAAGTGACGGCTAACTACCCTCCCAGTCCTACGTCTAACACATCTTACTGATTATCCATAACCTGTCACACTGCACGTGTGATTCCCATAAGGAAAGGTGACTCCTATGATTCAAGACTTAAAAGTCGCTTACTTTTCTCAATGTCCAGAGCCTTCTCTACCAAATTTTATGACGTAAATATTTGTCCTAGGCCCAAATGACACGGTAATTTTTTTAAAGATTTATTTTATTTATTTGAAAGACAGTTACAGAGAGAGGTAGAGAAAGAAAGAGAGGTCTTCCATTTGATGGTTCACTCCCCAGATGGCCGCAATGGCCAGAGCTGCGCCGATCCGGAGCCAGGAACCAGGAGCTTCTTCCCAGTCTCCCATGCTGGTGCAGGGACCCAAGGACTTGGGCCATCTTCTGCCGCTTTCCCAGGCCACAGCAGAGAGCTGGATCGGAAGAGGAGCAGCCAGGACTAGAACCGGCGCCCATATGGGATGCCAACCCTTCAGGCCAGGGTGCCACCCCGCTGCGCCACTGCACCGGCCCCAACACAGTAATTTTTAAAAGGTAAATAAAATGGCTGAACTCCTAAGGAGCACATGCACATTATGCACACGTGAAGTTTCACAGAAAATTACCAGGACCAACTGTTCTTACTCTCGCCACCTGAGAAATTAAAAAGACCAAACAGGGGCCAGCACTGTGGCGCAGCAGGCTACGACCCTGCCTGTGGCACCAGCATCCCCTGTGGGTGCCAGTTCATGTCCTGGCTGTTCCTATTCCCATACAGCTCTCTGCTATGGCCTGGAAGGCAGTGGAAGATGGCCCAGGTGCCTGGATCCCTGCACCTGTGTGGGAGACCCAGAAGAAGCTCCTGGCTCCTGGCTTCAGATGAGCCCAGCTCCCGCTGTTGCAGCCAGTGAGGGAGTGAACCAGCAGATGGAAGACCTTTCTCTCTGTCTCTCCCTCTGTTGTGACTCTACCTCTCAAAAAAATAAATAAATAAAATCTTAAAAAAAAAAAAAGACCAAACAAACATAAACAATTGGCAACTACAGTACAGAATATGTGGGGGTTTCTTATTTCATTATTGCAATCTTTCTCTAAGCTTGAAATTACATCAAAATCAAAAGGTATAAGAAACTGATTCAAGTAAGAGTCATCAGCAGACACTAGGTGTGGAAAGTCTGATCTGAAACTGGATAAATGTTCCAAAAGATGGGGCCACCACTGCGGAACAGCAAGTTAAGCTGCAGCCTACAACACCAGCATCCCATACGGGTGCTGGTTCAAGTCCTGGTTGTTCCACTTCTGATCCAGCTCCTTGTTAAAGCGCCAGGGAAAGCAGCAGAAGACCACCCAAGTGTTTGGGCCCCTGCACCCATGTGGGAGACACAGATGAAGCTCCTGGCTTCTGGCTTCGGCTTGGCCAAGTCCTGGCCGTTGTAGACATGTGAGGAGTGAACCAGCAGATGGAAGATCAATCTCTGTCCCCCCAACCCTGTAACTCTGCCGTTCAAATAACTAAAAAACAAATTTTATATATTTACATATATGTGTATTCCAAAGGATCTACCAATACATTTATGTTACTAAAGAATAAAAGTAACTCCACAGCAGAGAAAATAACCTGCTCCTTACCCAAGAGAGAGCTGACATCACCAACAAGAGGCAAATGGACATCAAATGCCTCTCTGTGTGTATCTGGTAAAGGTCACAAAGTCACTTGTTTACCCTTTTAATCAAAAAAAAACTCATAAACAAAATTTGATTGGGGAAAAGAGAATAAAAATTGAGGAAAATCCTGTAAAATAAGCGGGACTTCAAAACCATCAAGGTCCTGGTGCCACTGCTGTATCACTGTAGGCTAAGCCACTCCCTGAGGGGACAGCATCCCATATCAGAGCAAAGTTCGAACCTCCACTGTCCTCCTCCAGTTCGGTTCCCTGCCAGCACACCTGGGAAAGCGGCGGAAGACGGCCTGAGTAGTTGGACCCCTGCCTCTTACTGGGGAGACCCAGAAAGAACCCCAGGCCCAGGCCCAGCCACTACAGCCAGCTGGGGAGTGAACCAGCAGACTGAAGACAGGTGTGTGTGTGTGTGTGTGTGTAACTATGCCTTTCAAAATAACAAAGAAATCTTCCAAAAAAAATCAAGGTGCTGAAAGAAAAAGAAAAGCAAGCAAAGAGCACTGCCTAGAACATGTCATTTTCCAGGCCTATAACAGGCACTAGTGGTAGAAACAGGAACAAGACGAGGTCTCTTCACCAAGGTGACAGTCTCACAGTAAACGACTTAACATTCCTCAGAGACCCATCAGCAATATCATGGATATTCTAATCACATATGAAACAACAAAATCTCGTGGAGCCTTTTTGCCTTACACTAAATTATGTTTACTTATTTGTAACATAAAGTACATTTGCTTCTTTCCTGTATACAGGGGGAACTTCAAAAAGTTCACAGAAAAAAAGAATGAAAAGATGAAAATCAAAGACATGCACTACTCCCCAACGCGGCCTCTACGAGGTCAAGACGCTCCTCTGAGCAAGTCTCCAGCAAGTCAGTCCACCCCGCAGAAGCAAGGGTCGGGCGCTGACCGCGCCAGTGCAGTCCGGTCCGCATCGTCAGCGCAAGACAAGCGGCTGCTCTTCAAGATTCCTAAGATC